GACAAGTTTTTAAATGGCCCTAAATATATTTCTGCCACTATGTACTGAATATCTATACAGAGTGGCACTTTCAAGATCGGAATATCAATCAGTTCTGAAAAATATTGACACTCTATATCCTGCAATACTGATAAGTGGAGATTTAATTATGTAAATATACACACATCCAATTTAGTATAAAGTTTGTTTCCAACTTTTACATGTAAAAGTATATGTGCAGCAAAGAATTATTTTAAAACAATTTATTAAGCCAGGTGTGGTGATGCACACCTTTAATCCCAGCACTCAGGAGGTAGAGACAAGCAGATCTCTGAGTTTGAAACCAGCCTGGTCTACAGAGTAAGTTCCAGGACAGCCTGGGCTACATAGGAAAACCCTGTGTTGAAAAACAGAAATTATTTTTGTTTATGATTTATTATCAGAAAGCATTTTATTTGTATTGCTATTTTATATACCTAAGTACCAGAGACATGGACAAAACAGGATCACAAATAGGAAACATTTATAAGCCCTGTTCTATCTACTATTAAATAAAAGTAGAGTTTGATTCTGAAAGAGGTTTATACTCTCCACTTGAAAGACATTCAGTTTTATTATGGCTTTAATAGTAATGTCAGCATCTTGGTGGGTATAGATATTATTTGGCTCAGGTTCTATAGTAATGCCAATGACAGTAAGCCTGCAGTTGTGGGGACTAACTTTCTTAAAAGGCTGTCCTATAAAACTCCAGAATATAGAGCATCACTGCATCCTCTGAGGCTAGAGTTATCAGATCAATTCGTTAAACTAGAAAAATTTGAGTAAACAGGAGAGTATCCGACCCATGCTAGTGAAGCCAGCCAGGTTGCCCCATAATCAAGATGGTAATGGCATGAAGTTCAGAGTCTGACTTTAGTTTTTCCCCTGATTCTGCCAATTCCTGCCCAAGCCTTGCAGAAACTTGGAAGCTAGTCACTTGGAACTCCACCACATCTTCATTTAAACATATTTTATAAGAATGCATTTAAAGATTGAAGAGTGGGGGTAATTGGACTAGATTAATTGTTGGGAGTGGCATACTACTGCCTTATGTGGTGCATATTATTTACCATAACCCATTCCAACTTTATTATTCTTTGGTTTATATTTTATTGTGGCTTCTCCTCTCGACTACCCACAATATAACACATGCAGAACTAAGTACAGGGAGTTGAGCCTGTCTTTGGCACTATCAGTGGTGCTTAAAAAATACCTAGCACCTTCATCCAGTGATGAAGACAGATACCCACAGCTAAACGCTGAACTGAACTCCTGGAACGTAGTGACAGAGATGGAGGAGTGGTGAGCAAAGGGGTCAAGACCATGATGGTGAAACCCACAAAGATAGCTGACTGGACAAGGAGAAGCTCTTGAACCCCAGACTGATGGCTGAGAGGCCAACAGGGGACTGATCCAGACTCGATGAATATAGTGTCAGTGAGGAGGCCTTGGGTAGTAAATCAGTGTTTACCATGTCGTACAAATGAACTTTGGGAGCCCATTCCAAATAGAGGGATGCTCTCTCAGCCTGGACACATGGGGAAGGGTCTAGGTCCTGCCCTGGATGAAATGATAGCTCTGGAGATCCCCCCAAGGAGGGCCTCACCCTCCCTGGGTAATGATATGGGGATTGGGTGGGGGACTGGAGAGGCCTGGTGGAGGGACAAGGGAGGAGGAGTGGGAGAGGGAGCTGGGATTGACATGCGAAGCAAGCATGTTTCTAATTTAAATAAAAACATATATTGAGGAAAAAAATACATAGCATAAGTTGACTTTTACTGAGAAATTTTGAAATCATTAATATGAGCCAAGATCTTTTTGAAGATAACATGAGCTATACATTAAAATGGTTCTAATATTCAAAGCAATAAAGTAATATATCTGAAGCTTCTGTATAATTAAACTGTCATTTCTTTCAGAGAGAAGTGTTTGTTACTTTTATAATGAATTGTATTGTATAAACTGGGAACATATTTAGTCAACTTTATCCTAAAAAATGAGAATATAATTAAACAGGTAAATAATAAAGATCTGTTTTCCATTTAGATTTTACAGTAATTTTACTCAAAAGCATAAATGATTTTACATGTTACTACACATTTAAAACTGAGTATAAGTTATACATTGTATATTGTTGGGCTAGATTGACTTTGTATAATAACTTATACCTGAAGAATTCATATGGAATTCTGGATACAGCAATAGAGGACCAGAGATGATAAAGGACCATCCAAAGTGTACAGATGGCAGAGACAAGAAGGCCTTAACCTTTCGAGAACAAATTACATGTCACATATTGCTTTCTTTTTATTTTCCATTAAATTCAGCTTCAAAGACCATCTTACAAATACACTTTTCCCAGTCTGGCAGAGTAATTCCTATGAGATGGTTAGTCCACAACATCTCAGAGAATATAATACTTCACAATTCATGAATTCTACTTCAGACCATAATTTGAAAGTGTGTCGTGTGCATATGACTATGAGTAAACACCTAAGAAAACAAAACAAATTCTCTAATATAATATGTGTCAGAGGACTCTTCCTCACTCATCCCCCACTGACCTGGCAGAGTATGAAAGGAAGAAGCTTCTAAAATCTTGCTCAGTGTGAGAAGCTACACAGGCAGGACCCAGGCAGACTCTCCCAGCTCTGTCGCAACTGAATTCAGCTACTACTATTCTATAGAGGAAGGAAATGTACATCCAACAGGCACATTGAAGATTAGGTGAAGAGTGTTGGGCCCATGGCAACACTGAGTAAAGTCCTAGTTAAGGTGGTGGCTGACAGGAGGCCAGTTCTTCACAGCTGAGGAAAAGCCTCAGTTCTGATGAATAAATAAGACACACACACACAAACAACACGTTATATGTGAAAAGGGAAATAGTCCACACTTAGTTAACTAACCCACTTAGCTGCTTCAAATTTACTGGAGGAAGAAGAAAATTAGGTCAAGGAGGTATGAATAGCTCTAGTCATGTCTGTGACTCTCCTGATAGCTGGTGATAGTGTATGCATGCATGAACACACATGCAGGTATATGTATATAACTCATATATATTTCATTCCTGTGTACAATTTTATTCAATGAAATAATTCCACCTTTGTTTATAAAACACAAATTAACATGATATTGCTACAGAAATAAGCTGGAATCTACATGTTCTAGTGTGTTTTAAAAAGAAACAATTTGTTACTGTGTTTCCTAACTATCTGTACAAATAACAAGTTTCTCAGAACACATCTCATCCCTGATAAAGAAGTGCACTAAAGCCCAGAGGACTTAGATGACTTGCTGAATGGCACAAAGTCAGTCTTCAGCAGAGTAAGGACTCACCCTTCTCAGCCATCTTGATGGCTCTTGATCAGGATCTTAATGGTCCATATGCTCTATTCTTTGGGGCTAGATTAGATATTTCAGCTGTGCTACTGATACATAAGGATTCCATACTGTCTCCTTTTTTTCTTATGTTCATTAAATCCCTTCTATTAATACCTAATGTGATATGGACCTTTGGAAAATACATCTGTAATTTTATTCAGTATGTGTTTGTTTAGTGCCAAGTGGGCTTTCGATGTAATCAAAAAATACATTCTTTCATGTCTATTCAGGAAAATAAACATAAAGTAGAGTGAGATTACATTAAAAGATTCACTTTAAAAGGTAGTATTTTGAATAAAGCATTGAAGGGAAATCTGGCAAGAAAGGGATAGTATGAGGAACATGTGGAGAGACATGAAAATCATGAGTTGATATTTTTTAATTCATGGTCATTAACAACTGCCATTTAATGAGGGACCAAGAACTGAGAGACAGCCACTTCCAAACACACCCAATCATGTCAGTGAAATAGCTATCAGTTATTTTATCTTCCAGTGGAGCCTCTGTATCAATTATACAATGTCATATTTAGGCACCAGGACAGCCAATTTCAGATCTGAACAGGTGTGGATGAATGTCAGATCCTTGTCATAACCCTAGGAACCATCTCTGCCAAGACTGTGATTTCTTTTCTCAAATATCCATCTTTCTGTTCATATAGTATTTTTACCAAATCAGTTTTTTACATTTAATTTTTAAGTGCTCTATTCTATGCAAATGTAATGATAGAAAACAAGCTTTTGCCTGTCTATACATACTGAGTGTTGCACAGAATGAAGGCTCACTATGAAATCAAGGTAGCAAATCCCTTGTGTCTATTCTTCTTTGTAAGTTTGAATGTGAGCTATTAAGACTTCCTGTTTTCAAAAATTGCCATTTTGATTATTGTCTCAAGTTCCCAAGAGTATATATTTGGAGGTATTATTCACTGCCTATACAATATTGGGCAATGTCATGGTATAAAATATTTCCTTTCTTGCCTAAGAGAGACACACTTTTGGCCAGAATAAAACAAGAAAGTAAAGTCTCTAGGGCTGTCCTTCATAAGTGCCAGTACAATGATAGTTTGGATCTGGAATGCTCCCCACATTCCATGTTGTACAGTTGTCATCTGTGGGATTCCTTGGAGGTAGTGGCATCTTTGGGAGATGGGGACCCAGAGTATAGAAGCTAAGTTATTGAGAACTCAGTACCATGAAGGATACAGGACCAAGGCCCTACCTCGTCTCTCATTTCATACCCTCACTGTCTTGAAGTGATCAGGCTGCTGTTACCACACAATCCAAGATTATGTATTGAACCACCACAGTCCTGGTACAACAGAGCCAGGTGACTATGTACTGAAAACTGAAACGGTGAGCTGAAATAAACATTCTGTCACTTTGAGTTCATTTCCTCGGGTGTCTCATCTCAGCAGCCCACTGATTAACACAGAGCATCACAACAACAGGGTCCAGGTCTGCCCTGCTAGTTGTGTTGGCGGTTTGGTTGGTTTTCAATTTCCCCAAGAGTCTATAACTGGGGAAGGGTCTGCGAAAAGCTTGTGAGATTTTATTCTCCCAGAGCTTTCCCACATCTCATTACAGCAAGTGAACACTTACTTTCAATTGCCTTGATTTTGTTTTCCCACGGGACACAAGCAGCTTTGAAGTTCTCAAAGTCGCGAAGGAATTTTGCCCATTTCTGAAAACAAAGTCAAACACTAGTAAGGTAGAATCTCCCATGTTTCTAGATGTTTATTCCTGCCTTCCCCCAAATCATAAGACAATCGTTTCTAGGAAGCTCTCTAGCACCAAATACTGCTGTTTTGTACAAAGGAAAAACAGCAGGATCTACTTCCTTCTCTATTACCATTCCCACATAACTTAACAAAAAATATTGATTGTCAGATATGTTTACAATCCCAGTTACCTAGGAGACTGACACACAAGGATAGAAAGGTCAAGGACAGCCTGAACAACATAGTCACACACCAGATCAAAACCAGAAAACACACACACACACACACACACACACACACACAATCGCTGGTCATTTTACAGGCAGTATACTGACCACTCAGAAAGATCGATTTATTCTATCAGACAACAGTAAAATAGGAATTGAATTATTAAGGTAACTGATACAATTCTGCATTTAATATTCAGTGCATAAGGAACCAATGGACTTATCAATAAGATGTTGTATCTTTCTAGAAAGACCTCTAGTTTCCTAAAGCACGTTGTGAGAACACAGATGTTTTTGATTCACAGTTTTCACTTACATGGGACACTATTTTGATAAAAGACAATAGTCAGCTAAATAGAAAAAGATGGTATCACAGAAAAATAATGAATTTATTTCTCAAAAGGTCTTCCTTCTACTTTACTGCATAGTGTTGGGTTAGCCATGGTCAGGTGGACTGAGGAGGAATGGGAATGGGGCAGATAACTTTCCATTATATCTTCATTATGACAGGACAGTATGAGAGCTAAGTAGACACAATAGTCTAAAACTGAAGTTCAAGTGATTATCCAAATGGCTCAAACCCATATGCAGTAGAAAATGTGAATATGTAAATTGTCACAGCTTCATGCAATGCCTAATGCAATACTTTTAAACATGCACTGTAACTCCCCACAGCAACAGACCCCAATCATGCAATAAAGGAGCCAGAAACAGTCGGAGGGGGGGTGGCACACGACTTTAATCCCAGAACTCAGGAGACAGAGACAGGTGGAGCTTGTGACTTCCAGGCCAGCCTGGTCTACAAAGTGAATTCCAGGACAGCCAGGGTTACACAGAGAAAACCCTCTCTCAAAAAATAAATAAATAAATAAAAATAAAACCAAACGAACAAAAAAAAAAACAACTAAGTCACACACAGTATGACCAAATGCATATGAAAGATAAAAGGCAAGTAAAGTTAGCTATTTGTGTGCATTTAAAGAAAGAGGAAGATCTTCACACTTTCTGTGCAAACCTCTCTCTCTCTCCCCCATAGAATACACCTAGCTACAGTTTTTACAGCTTTACATTATAAAACCTATGGACCTCCTTCTCTGGGGGATGTGTGACTTCATGGAGGGGTTTGGTGTTGTATGTGGCCCACAGTAACTGTATATAAAGGTAAGCTTCCTTCAACTATTTTCCCAAAATCTGAATTTGTATGAACCTATCATTTTTTCTTATCTTTGCAATATCTAATTGGTGTTTCAGGTTGAAAAAAGAAAGAGTTTTGAGATGGGGTGGGTGCTTATGACCCTTTAAATTATAGACATTAGAGGAAAGAAGCCTTGACCAGAGCCCCTGTAACCTTCAGAAAATGGAAATGAAATGGGCGCACAGTGTTTTACACCTGAGAGTGGGAAAATCAAGTTAGTCTCTTGGTATAAATCGGTGGTTGCAACTATTTAAAATTCCTCAGTCTGTCTTAAAGGATAATATTAAGTCCCCTCCTCCAATTTCAGTGTAACAAATATATCACATATATACCACATACCACATGAGTTCTTGCTCTATGCCTACACACAGTTAAGACTAGTTTTCCCCCCTCAGAACAGACACAGTGTTCTCTCTCTCCCTTGGGGTCACTGTGACATTGACCAGACTAAATTACAAAAATGCTTACCTTAGCCATCATCATCTTAAATGCAAACCACTTCTTTCCTTTTCCTTTCCCAAGAGCCCCTTCATTTTCACTCACAAATTTCTTTGCTTCCCTGGGAAAAAAAAAGAAGAGGTAGGCAGACATGTGTTGACATACAAATAGGAGGCATTTTATTTGGCTATGTCTTCTGTCTTCTTTCTTCTAGACTCTCCATACCCTCAGCATCTGAACCAAAGTTGTATTTTATAATCTAGAGACTGTTAGTTTTTTAACACAAATGATGAGTACATTGAGCACATTTCCCTCCTCCTCCTGGCCTGGGTTTGCACCCCCCCCTTTCCACTCCCTTTGCATACCTACAGAATGTCACTTCTGCTTCCATGTCAAATACACATACATGATTTTAGGTATCTTTGTGAAAATCTATAAGCCAGAGGCATTTAATGCTTTTTTAATTTTTCTTTACATTCTGGCCAGGAAGAGTAAGTTATTTTCAGTCTCACTTATTAATCACCTGGAGTCATTGAAAGCAGAGTATTTGTTCCAAATGTCAAGATACAGAATCTTACTTCTCATTCCCAACTCATACAAAATTATACCTGAAGTTTATGTCAGGTTCTGGCAATCAGAATTTTTAGTTTGAATTTTTTTATAAATGATTCCTTTTTAAAAGATAAAGGAAGAAAAAGAAAATAAGGAAGAGTTGAAGAGAAATCGATCTGGTATTTAATTTAATAATGGCAATTATGGATTAAAGCACAAAAGTCAAACTCAAAAACAGATAAGTTGAAGAAGAAGGGTGAAGGGAAGATTTGGGGTCTCAAATTCAAAAAGGGATTTAATTTTAAACTTTAACAATACTGTCAGTAATATATTTTCATCATTCACATCAGTGCCCATTAAAAAGTATACTAATTTATCAAAAATATATAATGTTAACATATTAAATGTATGTATTTTTGTTGTTGTTGTTAGATAACAAATGTTTGCCCCTCCACACCCCACCCTGTTAGTATAATTGCAGTATAACAGAACATGGAATGATCACTTCGGGAGCTATAGTCCTGTGTCATTGAACAACAAGGTTGTGTTCTAGCAGGGACACATTTTATGTTTGTCCAAATGTCATAAAGTGAATGAGTACAAACCCATATGCTGACAACACCACAAGGTAATGTCATTTTACAGGACACCATGGTATCTGAGGATATCAACTGAAACATCGCATATTAAATAACTAATTAGACTGTGAAGGAAGAACCACTAGATGGTAGAAGGGATTGCTGTCTGATCATCAGAATTAGCTAACCTCTGGCCCACATTGTCTATAGGAGAAGTTAGTAAGAAGTTAGTAAGAACACAACTAGTTGACTATCTGCAACTGGAATGATGCTAGCATCCTATGACTATTCAGCCAATAGAATGGAAAAAAAATGCTTGTGGCTTTTGTTATCCAGTCTAATTTATTCTACCAGTCCTACTTGGCTAACTTTGTCATTTTGTTGTTGTCTGTTCAATGAAAAGAACTTTAAAATTTGAGGTGGTTCTGGCTTCTCTTCTTTAAGGGACAAGAGAACATGTGACCTAGTGAGAGGGACAATTCAAGTAGGTTGTGATTCTGCCGGTGTAATATGATGGGTAGTTGGGTGGCCCCTAAACTGTAGTTTTGCCAGTGAAACCCTTCACACATGATTGTGAACTTACTTCCACATGGTAAGTCTTTCAAGATGAAGGTTAGAGAAGGATTTTTATATAAGATGTTCCTCTATATCCATGCTAAGCACAGAATCCTGTAATAAACAGTGATAAAAACTACCAAACACCAGCTACCTGATCAGAGATGGGAATGGACCTTCCTTATACACCTGTGGGCAAGTGTCCACCTACAGTCTGGCACACAAACACAAGCAACATGGTGAAGTCTCTTCAGCCAACAAACAACATGCAAAGTCATTCCTGAACAGCAGGCCACCTTCCCCACCCCCCCCAACACACTGTGTTCTTGATCTTAACAATGGAAGGTGCTCGATAAAATGATATAAAGCTGACTACAGAATTGCATCTAATGATTTCATTTTCCATATTCACAAATTTTAAGGACATTTATTCCTTAAAATTCCTGTGCCCTTCATAACTATTCTTCTCTGTAATTTAACTGGCCATGTCCTAAAAATGTAGAAGAGTTTTGGACTCTGATATTTGGCATGACCTCTGGATTAGGAAAGATGATTGAAAAATAACTTCTAAAGCATCTGAGACATCGTAAAATAGTTACTCAAACTTGGAATCTCGTGACTCACTTTCAGACCCATACAAAAATAAAACATGTATTGAAGCACCATTTGTTGTACAGATGTTAAGACTAGAACATGGGCAGTAGCTAGCACACAGCTTGTAAAATGCTGAAGCAAAGGCTTTAAAGTACAGATGAGGTTTCCTCTAGTCCTAAGCAGCCTCTTTTGACCAACTGACCTGACTCCACAACCTTGTCTATGCCTATGATGGTTTCTGTGCCCATGCTCATAAGTTCTGCTTTCAAATGAAAATGCACCTCCTTGGGACTTCTACTTGACTGGTAGGGCCCCACACAAGATTTCTGTTACCACAGGACTTTTAACAGGTCAGGATTTCCCAAGCAACAACATCTCAACAAACCCTTCACTCCTTTCCAAGGGGGTGACAGGAACAAGAGTAGACAGAGATGTTGGAAGTATTGAAGCCAATTGTAGTACAATGTTAAGTTCACAACACTGAAATTTGTTCTAATGTGACTGATATACCATAGACTGACTTGAACAAAACACTAATTTTGGCCTTGCTTCTTTATAATTGTATTCATGAAAAACACTAGATGAATATAGGAATTGATATTTATCATTGCCAAGAAGCATGGGAAATACCCAGAATGCACACAGCACATCTCACTGCTTCACTTGCCAGTACTAGAAAAGTCACACCCATTCAGGGTCAAGGTGACCCTCCCCTCACACATCACAACTCCCAAGCAGCAACCATTTTAAAAGCTACTTCCACAAGCAAGTTACAAGTTCTTCTCAAAGGATCCTGTCATATGCATCGTGGCACTCATGTATTTCTTAACCATTAACCTGTGTTGAATTCCAATGCTATTTTACTCAAATTTTGTTTCTTTTATTTTATTAATGTGTCACCAGAAATGTTTCTGACTGATTGTGTTCCATCTATGGATTCCCTATAAAACTCGTGGTGTTTATTGTTCAAGTTCATATACTGCAGTGAGCTTTTTAGGTAACTGATATCTTGTATTACAGCAGAACTGACTACAATCCAATTACTTGGCATCAAGAATTTCTAAATCTAAAAAAAAAACAAATATATGTAGGAGTTATACCATTATAGTAAACACATAAAGAATAAAAATTCTGGATAGTAAAATCGGAATTTGTTATTCAAATGTAGCAAGACCACAGCTTTATATGTATACTGTACTGCCCCTTATATTGGTAAACCGTCCTGTGCTATCCAAGCTTGTTGAAAGGGAACTTTGGAAGCAAGGAAGCCTGGCTTTGTAGCCTCCAAAACCCCTTGTGCCAGTCCTAGAGTTGGCTTGTCCCTGGCTCTGTAATGGGGAAAACAAAATCAAACAATAATGACAAAAAAAAAGCAAAACTGTGGGAAAGGGAAGCCAAGAGTCCATGTGTGGACAGACAGCTCAGTCTGGAACTCTACCTGATCTCTTCAGCTTCCCTCATCTATTTCCGTCGGATGTTTGTAAGACCCTAAGTTAATGAGGTCATCTTGGTGTTCTGTCTACCAGGCTGTTCTTGTGTTCTCTTGAGTGTTGCTTGACTTTCTGCTGCTTCTCTCTGCTGCTATTTGTTCATTTACTTTTGCTTTCTGGTTGCTTATACTGACTCATTCAGAATCAAAAGTTCAGCTATCATACATCATTCTCTGAACTATAAAGAACACATGTCCAGCACTGTAAATACTTCATATTTTTTATGAATCACATTCTGTTCACCTGTATTTAGAATGCTTTCTACATGAATGGCCCATTAGAAAGCATGCATTTGTTATCTAAGCATTTAGAAGTATAAGAAAATAACTATTCTACTCTCTATTTGGGCCAAGGTTTTTACTTGGGAGAGTAGATAATTATGCTAATTTTATGAATTGATGAACATTAAATCAGTAAAACTTAAGAGAGAGGAAAGTGAATATTACAATCAAATTATAATCATTACAAAATTCATCTAACAATATGGAACCATATTTATTGATGTTAATAAAGATTTTATTTGTTACTAAAGATACATTTTTGTTTGAATATTAGGAAGTTTTTATTGTGTTGTGATTTTAAACAGCAGTGCATGAGAGAAAGATGCCTTGTGACAGAGATTGGGTGGAGGGTTTTTTACTGGGGGAAAGTGAATGGGAATGGTGGAGGAGAAGGAAACCAGGCCTCTGGGGACAAGAGAGGAAGAATAAAAGAGAGAGGTACAGAGAGGAGAGAGAGAGCAAAAGAGAAAGATGGGAGGTGAATGGGGCCCTTTTAAAAGGGAGCATAGTAAATGTGCACAGGAGATGCTCTTCGTGGCTGCAGCTGGGGGCATATCCTGTCAGAAACCCAAGGGCAGGCCAGTACAGAGGCCTGAGTACTAGCACCAAGTACAGTATTAATTTTGTCTTTCCTTAGCCATCTGTGGTAATTTTAATGGGAAATGTCACCTGAAGCTCCTGCACTTAAGCACTTGGTCCCTAGCCGCTAGTGCTGCTTGGTGAGGGTATGGAACCTTTAGAAGGTGTAGACTTAGTGGAGGAAGTCTGACACTGAGGGAAGGCTTTGAAGTTTTATAGCCTAACTAATCTTCCGGTTTCTGTTTTCTATGTGTAGATGAAGATGTGATCAGCCAGTTTCCTGTTCCTGCTCTCATACTTTTCCTGCCTGTTGCCATGGCTTCCCCAGTATAATATGCTCTGTCCTTCTGGAACCATAAGCTAAAATAAATCCTTTCATCTATCAGTAGTTTCTGCCAGGACATTTTATCACACCAAAGGAGGAGTAACTGGTACAGACACTATCCTACTCAACTCTTACCATGTATATCTTCTCTGGTCTTCAGAAAAGTC